TCCTCCTTGAAGTGTCAAAGATGCTGTTTCTACATTTGAAATTAGACAACACCTCCAATTTGGTTGTTCAGACCAATAATTAGGTATTTAAATTATATACTATATCTTGCCCACAGAAAATCTTGTAGATAGTTCTTTACAGAAGGTTTGTAATTGCTTTACTATTTTTTTCTGGTGTTGGAGATCAAACCAGGGCTTTGTGAATGAGGTCTACCACTGAGCCACATCTACAGCCCTACAGCACTTCATAGCTCTTTAAAATATTTTTTGAGGGCTGGGCTTTAGTTCCAGCACCTGGGAGGCAGAGGCAAGCGAATCTCTGAGAGTTCCTGACTAGTCTAGTCTACATAGTGAGTCCTAGGCCAGCCAGGACTACATAATGAGATCTGTCTCAAAAAAGCAAACAAAATTTCCAGCAGTTATCACCAGTGTCAAGGACAGCCAACGATATTGCTCAGAATATGGGTGCCACAAGGGTTGCTTTCTGGTGAGGTCTCTCTCTTGGGCTTCCAGAAGTCCTCCTTCTTGCTGTGTGCATATGTGGCCTTCTCTTTGCATACATATACCTTCCTCTTCTTATGGTAACACCAGTTCTATCTGATTAAGGCCTGTCACTGTGACTACATATTTTTTGCAGATGCTGAGAAATAACCCAGGGCCTCCTACATGCTGGGAAATTACCTTCTTAAAGGTCCTACCTTCACAGCTGGTGTTAGGGATTCACCATATAAATTGGGTGAGTGTAACACAAACTCATGGCAGTACATTCTTTTTCTTCTAGGGAAAGGGGCTCAGGAAGCTAACTGTACTTCTCTGGCTATGAGGCACAGTGTAGCCCAAAATGTATTTTTACTCTTTCTGGAACTCAAACTGTTTATAGACCATGAAAGGAGACATTTAGTGTTATAGAGGTATCTGGCCTCACTCATGCCAAATACTCCACATTGCTATGATGCTTTTATAATGCAAATTTTACATTTATCTTTGATAAAACTATTACTAGTTAACAAAAAAAAAATGTCTAAATATGCTAGAGAGATGGCTCAGGAGTTGAAAGCACTGGCTGCTCTTGCAGAAGACTAGGGTTCAGTTCCCAGCACCCCTATGGTGACTAACAAGCATTTGTAACACCAGTTCTAGGGATCGGACACCCTCTTCTGGCCTCTGCAGGCACTGCATGCATGTGGTACACTTACATGCATTGAGGGAAAACGCTCATATAGACATAAAATTAAATAAATAAGCCGGGCGTGGTGGCACATGCCTTTAGTCCCAGCACTTGGGAGGCGGAGATAGGTGGATCTCAGTGAGTTCAAGGCCAGCCTGGTCTACATAGTGAGTTCCAGGACAGCTGGGGCTACAGGGAGACCCTGTCTCAAAAAGACAAAAAAAAATTAAATAAATAATGTTTTAAATGATGAATATTTTTATACATTCAAAAAAATATTTAGCAGCCCAGCCTGGTGGTATAGGCTTTACTCTCAGCTACTCAGAGGCTAAGGCAGAGGACTGGAAGTTCGAGGACTGCTTGGCCTATAGAGTGAGTTCAAAGCCCACCTGGACAACTGTATTAAGTCAGGGTTCTCTAGAGGAACGGAACTGATAAAATTAGATTGACTTACAGGGTAAGGTCCAGAAAGTCCAACAATGACGGGCCACACTGGAGAGGCTGAGAATCTGGTAGTTGCTCAGTTCAAGAGACTAGATGTCTCAGCAGTCCCAGTCTGGTGTTGAAGGCCTGGAGGATTCCTACAGAACTGCTGGCCTTCCGTCAATACTGGAACCTGAAGAAGTTAGTTCTAATACCTGTGAAGGAATGGCATAATAATAAGATAGATAAACTCTACAGGGAGAATGAAGGCAAGTAGGCAAGAAGAAAAAGCTCCCTTCTGCCATGTCCGTTTATATGGACTGCCTTTAGTGGTGCCACCTACACTTAAGGTAGATCTTCTAGTTTCAAATAATCTGATCAAGAAAGTCTCTCACATTTTAGATTCAGTCAAGTTGACAACCAAAATTAGCTATCACAGCAACCTATTGAGACCCTGTCTCAAAACCTTAAAAATGTAGAAATGTTCCAGGCTTGGTGGCACATGCCTTTAATCCCAGCACTTGGGAGGCAGAGGCAGGCAGATTTCTGTGAGTTGAAGGCCAGCCTGGGTTACAGGGAGACCCTATCACACACACACAAAAAAAAAAACAAGATCAAAAAAAGACCAAAAATTGTAGAAACAATCTGGGTACAATCTCCCCTACTGCAAAAGAGGGAAAAATACTTTTCAAACATAAACCAAAGAAAATTTAAAAGACAAAAAAAAACTTTAAATTTTTTAATTTCATTTGTCAAGGCAGTCCACTGTTGGCAATAAACAAGATTTTTAAGGCTTTTTTTGATCCACTTATGGCACTCACACAAGCTGTTAACACCATCATCTGGTGTATGTTTAACTCCTAATTTCCCCCCAAATATATTATGTTTATAAACATATAGTTTTCCTAGGTTGCCAAACTTCACTCCTCACCTACCCTTCCCTGCCGCAAAACAAAACTTTTGCTCTTCAAGTTGTTTGCAATGAAGTTCTAAAATGGGGTTCATGATGGTAATGACAGTCTTATGATTGATTGATTGATTGATTGATTGATTGATTGACTGATTGATTGATTTTGAAAGTCTTGCATTTAAAGGACTAAAATCTTTTTTTTGTCTTTTTGAGAAAGGGTCTCCCTGTAGCCCCAGCTGTCCTGGAACTCACTATGTGGACCAGGCTAGCCTTGAACTCACAGAGATCCGCCTGCCTCTGCCTCCCAAGTGCTGGGACTACAGACGTGTGCCACCATGCCAGGCTAGGACTAAAATCTTATATGGCAAACTACATTTACTGGAGATTTTTTAGTATTTTATTATATTCAAGTAGGCTTATTCAGCCAGATATAGTGGTACATGCCTGTAATCCAAGCATTTGGGAGGCGGAGGCAAGAGGATTCACTGCAATTTCAAGGCCAGTCAGATCTAGATAGTGAGTTTCAGGCCAGACTAGGACTACATAGTGAGACCCCATCTAAAAAAATGGTAGGTGGTACTGGAGTTACTGCCCAGTCCACTGGTCCCTTGCAAAGTACTCAACAAACTACCCTCCCTAAAAAAAAAATAAAATCAGCTAGGTTTTTTATATCAAGCCAAAGATTATCTTTTGTTTCTCCCTATCTTATTTATTCTTTTGCTTTGCACTGTGTTTATCTTCAGGAAATTCCAAAGGTGGATTCATACCTGTAATCCCAGCACTTCAGAAGCTGAGGCAGGAGCATTATGAATGGAAAGTTTACGGCCAGATGTTGTTATCCTATCTCAAAAAAGAAAGGAAGGGAAGAAGGATGGCTGGAGAGATGGCTAAGCAGTTAAGAGCACTGGCTGTTCTTGCAGAGGACCTGGGTTCAATTCCCAGCACCCACATGTCAGCTAACCTTCTCAGGCACTGCGTGACACAGATGCACTTAGACACATGCAAGCAATACACTCATGCACATAAAATAAAAATAACAAATAAAATTTAAAAAAGAAGGAAGAAGGTCTGTGTGGTGGCACAGACCTGGCAGACCTGTGGTCCCAATTCCTTGGAATGTTAAGGCAGGAGGGCCAAGCACGGTGGATCCCAGCACTCAGGAGGCAGAGGCAGTGGATCTCTGTGAGTTCAAGGCCATCCTGGTCTACACGGCAAGTTCCAGGCAAATTGGGGATACAGGGAGACCCTGTCTCAAAAAGACCAAAAAAAAAAAAAAAAAGTTAAGACAGGAGGATTGACTGTTCAATGCTCATCTAGGCAACTTATCTATATCCTTATGGACTATGTATCTTTTTTTTGTCTTTTTGAAGCAGGGTCTCCATGTAGCCCCAGCTGTCCTGGAACTCACTATGTAGACCAGGCTGGCCTTGAACTCACAAAGATCTGCCACATGAATGGTGGAAATCGAACCCAGGTCCTCTGCAAGAGCAGCCAGTGCTCTTTACTGCTGAGCCATCTCTCCAGTTCCAATGTGTTACTTCTTCATGTTTTTTGTTTTTTTATTATTATTATTATTAGGTCTTTTTGAGGCAGGTTCTCCCTGTATTATTATAATTATTATTATTATTATTATTATTATTATTAGATCTTTTTGAGACAGGTTCTCCCTGTAGCCCCAGATGGCCTGAACTCTCTATGTAAACCAGGCTGCCCTCGAACTCACAGAGATTCCCTGCCTCTGCATAGCAAGTGCTGGGATTACCACCATGCCCGGCCTACTATTATTATTTTTTTTTAAAATTTTATGTGTATGCATGTATTGCCTGCATGTATGTATTACACCTATATTGGGCAATGTTCGAGGAGGTCAGAAGAGGGCATCGAATCCCCTGGAACTGGAATTACAGGCAGCTCTTAGCCAACATGTGGGTGCTAGTGATCAAACCCTGGTCCTATGCAAGAGCAACCACTGCTGCTGAGCCACCTCTGCAGCCCCTGCCTTAACACTTTTAGAGACCAGAGAACAAATGAATTTTAAAAACAGCTGGGTGGTAGACCTGGTGGCCAGGCATGTAATCCTAGCTACTAAGGAGACTATGGCAAAAGGATCCCAAGGTCACAGCTAGCCTGGGCTACAGTGAGTTCAAGGCCAGCCTGGATAACTTAGAACCTGTCTCAATATAAAAGTGGGCTGACGGCTGATGATGGACTTCAGTGCTATAGCATGCTTGCCTAGCATGTGTAACGTCTTGGGTTCAATTCCCAGAACCACCAAAAACAGAAGGGGGGAGGAGGAAAAGAGGGAAGAGGAGGGGAAGGAAAAGAAGGCAGAGAGAGAGGAGAGATACTACCCATGACCAAGTTTACACTCTGAGGTGGTTTTCGAACCCACCACCCCAAATACGGAAAGCGGGGATGCTTTCGCATTCGCCCCTGAAAACGGCTACGACCAGTGCGCATGTCTGGAAGCAGTGACTCGTGGGAACGTGGTGCCGGCGTGGAGGCGGAGCTACGTTACTCCCGAGGCGGGGCAGCTTCAGAAAATAACAGCTGGTCATCGACCAATCAGAGCCCACCAGGGCGGGCTCCTGAGCCAATTGCCTGCTAGGTGCCTTAAGAGCTGGTCCAAAATGCAGCAACTGGAGGGGTCAGACGGAAGCAGGCAAACTGGAGGGTGGGATAGAGGCGTACAGCTGACGCTTACTGTCATCCGCCAGAGGTGGGTGAAGAATGGGACGGGGTGGTGGGACGTGCGAGCCGGCCCCGTGGTCTCCTCACCGTCTGTTTTCCACACTCCTCCTCCGCAAACAAATGGAACATCACAAGATGGCCGCCTCCGGCGGGCGGCTCCGCTTGTCCGTCTCCCCTCCGGCCGATGTGGTTCGGTCCAGGCAGCCGCGAGTCTCCAGGGCCCTGAGGCTGCGGAGTGGAGTCCCCTCAGGTCGCTTGTACCCGTACAGTGGTTTGGACCCTGCCAGCGTCACAAGCTGGGGTGTGGACACCAGTGAGCATACTTTCTCTAGTGTGTGTATTCCTGTTATTCCTGAGGCTACAAAGATTTGTGAACCGCAATACTTGGTTGTGCGACCTGATTATTACTTTAAAAAAATATTTTAAGCAGGGCGTGGTGGCGCATGCCTTTAATTCCAGCACCCTGAATTCAAGACATAGTGAGTTCCAGGCCAGCTGAGGCTTTACAAGGAGACCCTGTCTCAAACAAAAGAACCAAAAAATATTTTTTTTTCTTTTTTTGGAGGTCTTTTTTTATTTTGGGATTAAAGGCGTGAGCCACCACGGCCGGTACACTTTTATTTTATGTGTATGAGTGTTTTGCCTGTATGTATGTAAGCACACTCCTGTCCTGCAGTGCTGGAGGTCAGAAGAGGGAGTGAGATCCCCTCTTAGCCACTGAGCCATCCCTCCAGCCCCCAATTTTTATTTTTGAGACACTAGTCCAGACTCCCTTCGAACTCACTGTTGGTTAAACCGGCCTCCAACTCAAGAGCTTCCTGCTAGTCTCCCTAGTGCTGGGATTATAGGTGTGGCAGAGGAGTGTAGGTGTTCTACATGAGACTGTCTCAGAAAATGAATAGTAAGTGGCTGGAGAGGTGACTCAGAGCTTAACATCCTGCACTGCTCTTCCAGAAGTTCCAGAGTTCAGTTCCAAGCACCCAACTCAGGTAACTCACAACTGCCTGTAGCTTTAGCTCCAGAGGCTCCAACATCCTCTTCTGGCCTCCATGGGTACTGTCCTCCCCACACACGTAATTTAAAATAAAAATTTTAGCGAGGGCATGGTGACACATGCCTTTATTTCCAGCAGGCCAGAAGCAGAGGCAGGGGGATCTCTGTCAGTCAGAGGCCAGCATGATCTACGTAGCAAGTTCCAGGTCAGCCAGTGCTACATAGACTCTGTCTCAAAAAAAATTAAGTCATGCCAGGTGTAGTTGTGCACACCTTTAATCCCAGCACTCAGCACTCGGGTGGCAGAGGCAGATGGATCTCTGTGAGTTCAAGGCCAGCCTGGTCTACATAGTGAGTTCCAGGACTGGGGCTACAAGAAGACCTTGTCTCAAAAAGACCAAAGAAATTTGAAACAATAATAATTATAACCTGCCATATTTTGTCCCTGTCTTAATCACAGTATAGAGATGGTTGCAGTCATCTCAATGACTTTACTGTTATTATCTTCATTGTGGAAGAGGGAATTGAGGTATTCAGAAAGGATACAGATGAACAAGAGCTAGAACCAGGCTAAATGGCTCCACACTCTAACCACTCAGATTTGGGAACATGTGCTTGTGTGTGTGTGTGTGTGTTGTTCAGCACTGAGTCTAGGGCCTCCAAATGCTAGGCAGTGGCTCTGCCACAGTTCCACCTCCAGCCCAGCACCAAGCCATTCTTCTCTCTACAGACATGTCTGCTCTCTATGCTCACTCAGTCCTCACCCACCCAACCAGGACTCAAGGCTCCTATAACACCCACTTGCTCACCCTTCTCATGATGAGTGTTCTTCCTTCCCCCAGGCAAGGGGAGTGAAGAGAGGACAGGGAACTTTGTGGGAAGAGTAAATCAGGACACAAGCTATCTACACTGCAGTTGCCTTACTAATTGTATGCTGGGTCTTGTGCTAGGTGGTGGGGATACCACAGTGAATAACAAACAAGGGTCCTGTTCCTGCCTGCCTGCCATAGGATGTGTTTGAGGACTCCTAGTTGGCAGGTTTGGGTTGTGACCGTGATGACAGTGCTTTGACATTGAGATAGTGGCCTGATGCTGGGGTCAGCCTTGTACCACCAAAACTTGTGACATTGAGGAAGATCTCCCAATATGTCCCTATTAAAAGGAAGCATCAGAGCTAGGCATGGTGGCATATACCTTTATCATGAGGCAAAAGGCACTGGCACATGCCTTTAATCCTAGCACTCCAGAGGCAGAGGCTGGCACTCCTCGTGGGATATGGAGGGCTGTGAATGCAGGAAAGCAAGGGGAGATGGATAGTGTAAGTTTTGCCGTCTCAGCCTTAGCTATCTCTTAAAAAACAATAGTTTAGTTGGCCCCTCCCTATGTCTAAGTCTCCAACAGGGACTCAGTCATGTGGTGGGGACCAGAGTATGAAAGGCACCCCCATGTCATATTACCTACTTAAGGCTTAAGATGTGGCAATCAGAACCTTTGAGACATCTTCCCAAAATACAATCATCCCTTGATTTTTTCCCCTCTTTTTATTATTTATTTATGTATTTTTGTGTGTGGTGATGGGTGTGGAGGTCTGAGGACAACTTGTGGGAGTTGGTTCTCTCTTTCTTCCATATGGGTTCCAGGGATTGAACTCAGGTCATTTGGTTTGACAGCATACACCTTTACCTCCTGAGCCATCTTGCCAGCTCTTTTTCTTTTTTTCCTCTTTTTGAGACAGAGTCTCACTATGTACCCCTGGCTAGTCTGAAACTCACTACATAGACAAGGGTAGTCTCAGGCCTCATGAATGTTAGGATTGCAGACACACATATACCACCACACTTGCTTGGTAAGTGTGTTAGGGGGGTTAGTTCTAGGCCCCCGGCTCCTACAGATACCCAGCTCCTCATCTGCTCAAGTCTCTTCTATATAAAACGGTATAGCATTCACATATATCGTACCATATCCTCCAGTATACTTTAAATCCTTTGTAGATTGCATATAATACCTAGTAAAATGTAAATACTCTGTAAATAGTTGTCATAGTATATTGTTTTGGAATAATGCCACTAAAATGTCTGTGCATGTTTAGTAGAGATGAAGGGGATTTTTGCATTTATTTTATTTATCTTTCATATAATTTAAATCATTGGTTGGTTAAATTCCCAGATATGGAAGGACAACTGTAAAACAAAATAAGCACAACCTATTAATATAAACAAGAAACAAGCCGGGCATAGAGGGACATGTCTGTAATTCTAGCACTTGGGAGGCTGAGGCAGGAGAATCACTTTTGAGTTTGAGACCAGCCTGATCTATATAAGAAGACTCTAGTATGGAAAAATAAAAACAACAAAAAGTCAAAACAGGAAACAATCATCCACCTAGTGGCCCTGGGGCCTTGGGAGGGGTAGGTGAAAGGGGAACACTAGGTGGTTATAAATTATTGGGCGTATTCAGTTCTTCGGGGTTCCTGGTGTTCACTCTATTACTAAGAAGTGAATTAGAAATTCTGCTTTCGCTGGGAGTGGTGGCACATGGCTGTAGTCCCAGCACTCAGGAGGCAGAGGCAGGCAGAGCTCTCAGGGGGACTCTGTCTCAAAAAAAAAAAAAAAAACAGCAACAAAGAAGAAATTATAAATCAATAAAAAGCTAAAATCTCTGAAGAAATGCCAAACAGAACTAAAACTTGCAAAGATAAAGAAAGAAAAGAAAGAAAAAGAAAGAGAAAAAAGAAAAAGAAAAATTCTGCTCTCAGCTGTGGTGGACTGACTTAAACTAGACCAGCTGTCAAGCTGAGAACAACCAGAAAAACTGGACTGTTTTCTGGTTTCTGTTGTTTTTTGTTGTTGTTGTCTTTTTGAGACAGGGTCTCCCTGTAGCCCCAGCTGACCTGGAACTCACTATGTAGACTCGGCTGGCCTTGAACTCAGAGATCTGCCTGCTTCTGCCTCCTGAGTGCTGGGATTAAAGGTGTGCACCACCACACCCGGCAGGTTTCTAGCAAATTGCCCTTCAGGCCATCATCATCTTGTCAAGTTCTGACAGCCAGATTAGAAGAACAAGAGCTGATGGGGACCAGAAATTGAAAACAAGTTTCTGGGGCAGGAGAGACAGCTCAGCAGCTAAGAGCACTGGCTGCTCTTGCAGAGGACCCCAATTCAATTCCCAGCACCCAAATGGTGACTAATAACCCTCAACAGTTCCAGTTCTAGGGGATCTGATGCCTTCCTTCTTCAGGCCTCCGTGGGCATTGCACAACATGGATGCAATTACATACATGAAGGCAAAATATTCATCCATATAAAATAAAAATAAATAAGCCAAGCATTAGTGGTGTATGACTTTAGTCCCAAGCACTCAGGAGGCAGAGGCAGGAGGATCCCTGTCAGATCAAGGCCAGCCTAGTATTCATAATAAGTTCCAGGCCAGCTGGGGATACAGGGAGACCCTGTCTCAAACAAACAAATAAATAAATAAATATTAAAACAAACTAGCTTCAAAGTACTGATGCCAGGTCAGCAGAAGAATTAAACAATATGGTAAATTATGTTTAAATGATTAATAATGATGTCATATTTGAATGATTAATAAATCATTATATTCCAGAAACTTCATTCTATTGGGGACTGAAAATAACAAATATATGCTTTGGTATTTTTATATACATTTTATTTTATATTTTATTTTTTGATCTTTTTTGAGACAGAGTCTCCCTATAGTTCTAGTTGACCTGGAACTTGCTATGTAGACCAGGCTGGCCTTGAACTCACAGAGATCTGCCTGCCTCTGTCTCCTGAGTGCTGGGACTAAAGGCTACCACGCAGGGCAGAAACACAATTTTTTTTTTGAGACAAGGTCTTACTGTATAGCCCTGGCTGGCCCTGGAACTCCCTATGTAGACCAGGCTGGCTTCAAACTTAAAGCGATCCACCTGCCTCTGCCTCTTGACTTCTAGGATTAAAGATATGTGGCACCACTACCAGAAACGCTACTTTAAAATGTCAGTTAAAGCCGGCTGTGGTGGCACATGCCTTTAGTCCCAGCACTTGGGAGGCAGAGGCCGGCAGATCTCTGTGAGTTTGAGGCTAGCCTGGTGTACATATCGAGTTCCAGGCCAGTTTGGGGCTAAAGGAGACTCTGTCTCATAAAGACAAAACAAAATAAAACAAACAAACAAACAAAAACACCCAGGAGGTTGGAGAGCTGGCTCAAGGGATAAGAGCACTAACTGTTCTTCCAGAGGACCCAGGTTCAACTCCCAGCATCTGCATTACAGTTCTGTCATCATTTTCCAGCCTTTGCAGGCACTACACACACACACACGCACACGCACGCACACACCAATAAAAATACCAGCAATCAAAACACTTGTACGAATAAATAGTTTTAAAAAATCAACAAAAAAACCCAACCAGCTTGTGTAGTGCAGATTTAACATTCTATGATAAAGAGTAAAGAAGCAGATCTTGGGACAGGGAAAGAAGTAATAAGAAGATGGAAAACAAAACACAGAGGAGGAGCAAGAGAATTTTATCTTGGTCTCTGTGTGGCACCTAAAAGTTTTTTTTTAACTTAAAAAAATTATTATTTTATGTATATGTCTGTATTGCCTGCATGTAGGTAAGTGCACCTGGGTTATGCAGTGCCCAAGGAGGACAGAAGAGGCTGTTGGATCCCCTGGAACTGGAGTTACAGACAGTTGTTGGCTCCATGTGGGTGCTGGGATTTGATCCCAGGTCTTCTGCAAGAACAGCAAGTGTTCTTAACCGCTGAGCCATCTCTCCAGCCCTGGCACCTAAAGGTTGAGGAACTATTTCTCATAGAACTGGCCTTAGCCATACCATTCCCAAGCTATGTAATTTTATGGAAGTTACCTAAACTTCTTGCCTTCAATCTCCCCACCAGGAAAATTTGCATAACAATTTTCTTTCCCCATGGCGTCACCAATGAATATTGAGTTAATACAATGTGCAGCACTTTTAAAAGTCACAGAAGATTAAGCATTATTAATCTCCCCTTTTATTTCTTCAATGTGGTTGTTTGGTTGGTTGTTTTTGTTTTTGTTTTGAGACAGGGTCTCCCTGTAACCCCAACTGGCCTTGGAGCTCACTCTGTAGATCAGGTTGCCCTAGGTCTCAGAGAGATCAGCCTTCATCAACTTTAAGTGCTGGGATTAAAGGTATGCACCACCATACCTGGCTTTTAATACATTTTAAAAATTGTATGTGTGTGCACTTGTATGTGTCTTTATGAGAGTATGTGCACATTTGTGTGTGGGTACTTATAGAGGCCAGAAGAGAGCAGCAGACCCCTTGGAGCTGTAGGTACTGGCAGTTGTGTGCTGCCTGACATGGATGCTGAGATCTGAACTCCTGTCCTCATGGTTGAGCAACAAGTGCTCTTGACCACTGAACCATCTCTCCATTCCTCAACGCATATTTTTTGAGACAAAGTCACATGTAGCCCAGGCCATCTTCTAACTCACTATGTAGCCAAGGCTAGTCTTAAACTCCTGACCATCTTGCTTTTATCTCCCAAATTCTGGAATTACATACATATGCCACCATGCCCAGCAAACATACTTGAGTGTCTAGTTTGTGTCAGATACTAGAAGTATACTTAGTAAAAAGAGAATACTCAACGAGTGCTATTAAGATGAGAGAGCTTCAGTTTGTAGAGTGCTTGTCCTGAGGTTGATCCCCAGAAGCACGTAAAATTCAGTTTAGCATGCACAAGGCCCTGCATCTAAACTCCATCACCAAGAGTGAAGAAAAGCAAGTCTCCAAAGATGATATTTTCAAAAAGTCCAAAAATAATACAAAATTAATCAAGATGTTGTTTTAGTATTTACTTATGCAATGAAATCCTTCCTTCTAGAAAGTGTTTGATAAGAAGAAGCAATTAGAGGAGGCTACAGGGAGGCAAGGGTAAGGGGTGGGGAAGTGGGTCATAGACTTATATATTGTTGGCAGTATCAATGGTCTCAGGCTAGGGGTGGTCTCACTAGATCATTAAAAGGAAAAGTTATAATACAATGACCCTTCAGACCTAGAGCCTTGGACCTCAACCTAGGCCAGCTGGGTGCTTTGGAAAAGAAGGAGGTTGCCCAGTCCTGTGACTACTCCCTGTTCAACCATCCCTACAGAAGTGCTACAGATGGCTTAGCTTTTGATTCTAACTGGAATAAGGCAGGTCTGAGCCAAGGGACATAGGCCCCACACAATAAAAAAAGCATAAAGACTTCATCTGTTCACAAAGAAGGATCTAGCCATTCAAATGGAGGAGGGCCCAAGCAGGTTCTAGAGAAGAGGACAGGCCCTCTGGGGGCCCCTGGAGGACTTGTTTCCCTTGTGGTTTTTTGCACTTCCTGTTCCCTTGCTCACTGCGGAAGTTCTTCTTACCCTGCACCCAGAGCTTTGTTGCAGAGGACAAGGGCAGAAGGCACCATGAGTGGGGGCCCTGTGGGAGGCAGGCCTGGAGGCCGAGGAGGGCCAGTGGGTCAGCAGAACGTTCCTTCCAACCTCCTCCAAGATCATGAGAACCAGCGACTTTTTGAGATGCTTGGCCGAAAATGCTGGGTGAGTTGGGGTTCTTCTGGCTGTCTCACTCTCCCTCTTCTCTCTATCTCTTTTTCTTCCTCTTCTGTTCCCTCCTCCTCCTCTTATCCATACTTCCCTGCTCCTTCTTCTTCCCATCATCCCTCTTTTCCCTTTCCCCCATCTCTTCTCCCAGGATTCACTTACTATAGATTGCCCATCCCAAGACAATCTATGCACCTTCCTTTGGGCTAAAGTTCTTTCCCCAGGCCCCTGATAGCCACAGGCAAAGAAGGACCAGATCTGGCTACCCCCAAACAGACTCCATTGACCCCTATTCTCCCTTCCTAGACACTGGCCACTGCAGTTGTTCAGCTGTACCTGGCGCTGCCTCCCGGAGCTGAACACTGGACCATGGAACACTGTGGGGCTGTGTGCTTCGTGAAGGATAACCCTCAGAAGTCCTACTTCATCCGCCTTTATGGCCTTCAGGTGACCCCATGCCCCACTGAACATGCAAGCCAGTTCTCAACCTGCAAAACCAGTTCTTGTCCATAGCCCCAAGCCCCTGGCCAGATCAGTGAACCCCAGAGCTCCAGAACCAAAGACCCATATAGATCCCAAATTGTGGTTTTCTTTTCTGAGTCTGAGATGACTGACCTCGGAGGCTCCATATCAAGATCTTTCTAATCCCTCAAATATTTTATACACTCGTTCCACAAACTCCAAAAAAGCACGATATTTATACCTGAATCTCAACATCAAATCTGTTCTAAATTCAACATGTTGAATATTCCTACAACTAGAATTTTATTACTATTATTTATGTGTATGAGTGTATTGCCTGCATGTGTGTAAGTGCACCTGTGTCATGTAGTGCCTGCAGAGGTCAGAAGAGGGCGTCAGATTACGTGGAACTGGAGTTATTGATGGTTGTCAGCCACCGTGTGGGTACTGGGAATTGAACCCGGGTCCTCTGCAAGAGCAGTCAGTGCTCTTAACCACTAAGCTATCTCTAAAGCCACAGAACTAGAATTTTAAATTCATAAATTTGAGGCCTCAAGTCCCACATCTAGGGCCTGGAACCCCAAACCTAAATCTCTCACAGCACATCTGACACCTAGACCCCAAATTCTCTGATGCTAGGCTGAAATCTCCAAATAAGACTCCTGGACCCTAAGTCTGAACACCATGCTTCCTGGCCAGATAACAAAGACCTGTCACCAGGGTACCTAGATGCTAGCATGTTCCCCACCCTACTCTGCAGGCTGGTCGGCTGCTCTGGGAACAGGAGCTGTATTCACAGCTGGTTTACTTCACTCCCACCCCTTTCTTCCACACCTTTGCTGGAGATGTAAGTGGCCAGCCTTCCCTTGGGCTGCAGTTGGGAAGAGATTACAAAAGTCCAGGGTGGGGGCAGGGAAAGCTGAAAATCTGCTGACCCCAAGGCATATGTAGGACTGCCAAGTAGGACTGAACTTTGCAGACGAGAGTGAAGCCCAGGCCTTCCAGGCGCTAGTGCAGGAGAAGATACAAAAAAGGAATCACAGGCAAAGCGGAGGTAAGGAGGCTTTGAGCGGGGGTAGACAGAGGTGAGTGTATGGGTGTGAAGCTAGAAAAGCCCTGCTCATGGCTCTGGCTCTTAATCCCACCTATCCAACCACAGAAAGACGTCAGCTACCACCACCACCAGCACCAGCCAATGAAGGTAAGTCCTCTAGTTCAAGTAGAGGTACTTAAGGGATTAGCCTAGGAACATGCTGCAAGGTTGTGACAGATCTCAACTTATTTCATTTTCCCAGAGAAAAGAGGAGGGCTCCCACCCCTGCCCCCACATCCAGGTGGAGACCAAGGGGGTGAGTGGTGATTCTTGTGTCCTTGGATGGATGGATGGATGGATGGATGGATGTAAGTAGATGGATGACTGGCTAGGTGGAAGGTGGATGAGTGGATGGATGGATGAACATGTTTATGGAATGGTAGCAGATAGATGGCTAAGTGGGGGGATGAACTGATGAGAACTTAAATGTAAAAATAGATGTATATGTAAACTATAGATAAATAGGTGAATGAGTATGTGGATAAATGGATGAATACTTGGATAGATGGTTGAGTGAATTAATGAATGAGCATGTGAATGGATGGATAGTGAACAAAGAACTAAATGAGGAGTGGCAAGATGGCTCAACAGGTAAAAGCACATGCCACTAAGCCTGTTGACCTGAGTTCCACCCCCAGAACTCACATAAAGATGGAAGGTGAGAATCAACTCCCCAAAGTTGTCCTCTGACGTACACATGTGCTGTGGCATATGTGTGCCCCCTTCTACATGCATATGCACACAATAATAATAAATAAAAAAAGTTTTAAATTACTTAAAAATAAATAGGCCAGGTGTGGTTGTACACACCTCTAATCCTAGCTCTTGGGAGGCAGAGGCAGGTAGATTTCTGTGAGTTAAATACCAGCCTAGTCTATATAGTGAGTTCCAGGCCAGTGAGGACTTAGTCTCAAAATAATAAATAATAAATAAATAAATAAGAAATGAAATAATAGTCTACCCAGAGAAAAAAGCAATGATTAAATGAATCATGAGTGAATAATTTAACAACCCATTTAGCAAATGAGCCAGAGAATGAATGAGTCAGTACTTGAATGATAAGCATGCATGAATCAGTGACTATCTGAATATTTTCAGGGGTCTATCTACCTCTCTATAAGCCTTACTTTGAGCCCTCATCATCCATTCCCTCCATGACCATCAAGCATACACACACACTTCAATAGTCTTTCCATTTTTTGTCCCTATGTTTTGGATAATAGCTAAGTAGATCAACGATCCATTCACACTGTTTTTCCCACAGGCCCATCAGGTGGTCCACTGTCTCTAGGACTTGTGACAGTGGATATTCAGAACCCTGACATCACAAGTTCACGATACCGTGGGCTCCCAGCACCTGGCCCTGGCCCAGCTGATAAGAAACGCTCAGGGAAAAAGAAGATTAGCAAAGCTGACATTGGTGCACCAAGTGGATTCAAGTGAGAACCTCTCCCCTGTGAACCTGAAAATCTCTGTGGGTAGGGAAGCATTCAGGAAAAGGTGGACAATTGAGCAAATGGAAGCATGGGCAGATATGTGGGTAGCTGAATGGATTAATTAATTAATGTGTTGAAGAATGAATAGATAGGTGATTGTATAAAGGGGTGGATGAGTCAATGGAAAGTAGATAAGTAGATGGATAAATGAATGGATGGAGGTACACACAGACTGATATGTAGGTTGACTGGTTCACAGCCAAAGTAGATGGGGACAGGTAAGTAGACAGACATGTAGGTGAATGGACAGTTGAATGGATAAGTGAACAGAAGTGTGTGGATGAGTAAAAATGGAAGTGGAAACACACTTCATTTGCCAGGCATAGTAGCACACACCTTTAATCCGAGCACTTGGGAGGCAGAGGCAGGTGGATCTCTGTGAGTTCAAGGCCAGCCTGGTCTATATAGTGAGTTCCAGGACAGCTGGGGCTACAGGGAGACCCTGTCTCAAA